TGCCTCTCCCCGGATTTGAACCTGCGACCTGCTGGCATAGGTGTTTAACCCACTGCACCACCGGGGGCTCCATATAATATTATAATGTAATACAATATACTACAACTACTACTAATAATAATACAATATAATAATATTAATTGTATATTATATGTTACATGCAATATTCTTAATAATATTACAGTATAGTGGCATAGTACAACATAGTAATATATAATGTTAATATTGTGCTATGCTAATAATATACATTGTATGTACATGTAAACTGCTCTGAGTCCCCATCGGAGTGAGAGAGGACAGGATATAAATGCAGTAAATAAATAAATAAATAAATACTGTATTTACTGGAAAGTCCAATTTTAGTAAGCAGATAAGTACTGCACGTTTCTCTGTTTTGTGAAGTATGGTCATAAAAACTTTGCTCCTTTTATATGAAGATCTACACCTATTTTTAAAAATTGTTCTGTTCTGTTTGAGTTATGGGTAGAAATTCTAGATTGTGTTTGCAGAGTGTAACTCTCAATTCAGTCTACTACACAGTAAAGGTGTTATGGTACCTTTGGTTAAATATATCAGTATTGTCCAGATTGTGCTGAAAACTGACATTAACTGATTGTGTATATAGGAATGTGTCTGTATATTAGAAAATGCATAGTTGCTGTTTCCACGATGCAACTAAAAGTGGTATACTGAAGAAAAATAGTTGCAATTGTTGCACAGCATCCAAGAATGAGCAACTACATAGCCAGAATCCTGTTAGTTACTTCCAATTACAGTAGACCCACTGAACCCATTGTTAGCATGTTACCAAGTGAGTTAATATGTAGGTCAATCCAGTTGTTTCTGAAGCTCTACTGAAGACTGAAACAGAATGTAGGCCTATGGAAAATAGTTACACTTGTTTAACTCTCCATACGCAACCATGAATGGAAAACTGAGAATGGGCAACTTAGAAGTCCCTGAACAGACTCAGAAGTGGAGTGGGCAGATCAAAAGATAACCTGGCAAAATGGCACAACCTAGAATAATTCTCCACCTTGTGTGACTGTGGAGCAGAACAAACAACCCTGCATCTGTATGCTTGTCCACAATGTTCTGCCTCATGCACAGAGGAAGAATTGGTTGAAGCTACAGACAATGCAATTACTGTCGAAGGTTTTCATGGCTGGAATCACTGGGTTGTTGTAGATTTTTTGGGCTATATGGCCATGTTCTAGAAGCATTTTCTCCTGACTGCATCTATGGCAAGCATCCTCAGAGGTTGTGAGGTATATTGGAAACTAAGCAAGGGAGGTTTGACCTCATAACTTCTGAGGATGCTTGCCATAGATGCAGGCAAAACGTCAGGAGAGAATGCTTCTAGAACATGGCCATATAGCCCGAAAAACCTACAACAACCCAGTGCAATTACTGTTGCTCATTTTTGGTCTAAAATTATTTAGCCGCTTGTGCTCCCTCTATTTTATCAGTTTTATATTTATTTATGCAATGCTTTTGACACTAAATAAAACCATGAACTGAATACATTCACTATGCAATAGGTACAAAAGTACAACCATGGATGTAAGTGAGATTACATATAGGAATGACTTCAACAAAGCCAGTGTGGTGTAATACTTTGAGCTAGGACTCTGAAAGACCAAGGTTCAAATCCTTACTTGACATTGCAATCCATTGGGTGACCTAGTCACATTGTTTCACCTTCAGAAAATATCAATGGAAACCCCTTTCAGAAGAAATCTTGCTAAGAAAACACATTGTAAGGTCAGTTTGAGTTGGAAATTACTTGAAAGCACACAACAAGAACAACAAAGACACCAATGTGATGCCAACCAGGATCATGAAACCATAGTAAACTTCACTTTGAGAAGCCAACAAAAGGCGCAACTACAGTGTACAACAAGTATGGCAAATGTAGGAGGTGTATAAACCTCACTTGCCTAGTTTCCATCATATGTGAGGAGCTATAGATTGAACATGGGAAAGGTTAAGAACTTGTAAAAAGTACTTAAAAATGCAGCTGGCTGAGAGAATCTTGAGAAAAGTAAATCTGATCATTGTACAAACAAGCAACAATTGCTCTGTGTGAGATTCAAAGGTCCATACATTTTATGCTTGAAGACCTTATCTTCATGTCCACAATGGTAGTTGGTAGATTCATTGGAGTGGTAAAATTATCCAAGCTGCTTAACTGTATACACTAAGTGGGTTCACCACAGCACCTTTCAAATTCAATGCAAAATCTTCACCGGATTTATTACCCCACTGATATGGAAGCTCCCACGGAAAGAACAGTTAATTTGTGGCCCTATCGGTTGTAGGATTTCAGGAGTTATAGGCTAAAAAGATATCTTGTTTGACCTGTGCCAAAGGGTCGAAAGAGAACCCCTAGTCTTGCTAACAAAATAGCATAATTGGATGTGGGAAGGAGTTTCATAGCATTTTGCACTAGAGAGTTAATGCATTAGCACAGCTGGCTCAAAATCAGAAACAAATGCACCAACAAGAAGTTTATCAAAACAATCCCTATCTCTGGGTCTTGCAGGATGCAAGGGTGCCATTTTGTTGCAGGTGAAGAAAACGTCTTCCACGGCCCTTGGGTGCCCCAGACCACCCAGGCGTATTCCTTAAACAGAGCTAACTGGCCATAGTAATAGCGGTATGAAGTGACTATTATACTGAAGAAATAAATGGGTTCACGTCCTAGGTGAGCATGCCAAAGGGATGACCGATTGACCTTTGGAAAAAAATATTGCCATAAGATACCAAGAGATTATTTTTAAAAAGAAAATAAATACATTATTTTTGTTTTTGTGAGATTCTTGTTTATCTCCTATCAGAATTAGAAGTGCATCAAAAATATTGCATTGCACTGCATTCAGACCAGTAGTTTTTATTAACTACCATATATACTTGAGTATAAGCTGAGTTTTTCTGCCCTTTTTTTAGGCTGAAAAAGCCCCCCTCGGATTATACTCAAGTTGAGGTAATTTATTATTTTCCTCTATTATTATTATTATTATTATTATTATTATTATTATTATTATTATTAAATTTTTATTTTACTCTATTATTATTACATTTATTATTATATTATATTATATTATATTATTTATTTACTTCATTTGTATATCGCTTTTCTCAGCCCTTAGGCGACTCAAAGCGGTTAACTCTATTTATTATTGTTGTTATTACTACAATTATTATTTTACCCTATTATCATTACATTTCCATATTTACTCTATTATTACTATTATTATTGCATTTCCATTATTTTACTCTATTATTATTATTATTATTATTATTGCATTGATAATTTCACCTGCTTTATTATTAAGCACATTTACATTCAAGGTTAGAATAATAGTTTAATCAGAGTTAGGCAGTATTATCTTAAATTACGGTTTTATGCTAATATACAAAAACATTTAACCTACCGATGTCCCCATTAATTTTATTTTATTGGTATCTATTATTATTTTGAAATTTGCCAGTAGCTGCTAAATTTCCTACCATTGACCCAGCTTATACTCAAGTCAATACATTTTCCCAGTGTTTAGGTGCCTCGGCTTATATTCGGGTCAGAAATACTGGAGTATATATGGGTAATACATTCATGTTTGACAGGCAATGGGCAGTGATACAGATATACTGTGATTGATATCCCACTGTTTCATAAAGTAATGTAATTTTGCTTCTGTTTTGCAGTTAAATCTTCAATATATTCTAGAGCAAGATTAGCCATTTTGATGTGAATCCTCCTCACCCTACTCCCAAACTCATAAATAATATATTGGACTGAATAACTACCGTAGATTTAGCTGAAGTATCTTTCAGCATCTTTGAGACTAAGGGCCCTTCCACACAGCCATATAACCCAGAATATCAAGGCAGAAAATCCTACAATATTTGCTTTAGACTGGGTTACCTGAGGTCCCTTCCACATAGCTACATAACCCAAAATATCAAGGCAGAAAATCCCACGATATCTGCTTTGAACTGGGTTATGAGTCCACTCTGCGATATATTCCAATTCAAAGCAGATAATGTGGGGTTTTATTCAGCTGTGTGGAAGGAACCTAAGAGAAGGCTTGTAGACTTAAGTCGATTTCATCAAATGCAGGTTAGACTGAGCTAGAAACAGTTAACCAGATTTCAGAGTCTGGTTGCGTTGGGTTGCAGTTTTTCAAAGAAAGGGGCACTTTCATTCAGAATTGTGCATGGAGGGGTGATTTCACTTATTTATTCCCTTTCAAGTCGGGACCCACAAAAATGGGATTTCCAAACACAATGATTACAGTTTGGTTACTAAACAATTTTGGGAAAGTTAGTGATAATTTAACCAAGTATTAATTGCCATGCAAAGTGGCAGAGCTCTAAAAACAGAGGATACAGGCTGAGAAACAGATTAGAGATGGGATTTTCCACAGTGTTCTGAGCTGAAAAAAATAGATGAAAATGAACTCAACTGGACAACACCTAATTTCTAACTGGTTTTTTCTTTGCTTCCTGGGTCTGTCTTTCTGTTCTCCAGATCCCTGGCACTTTATCAATAAGTAGGGGTTTAGAATTCATTCAAATACACTACGTTGGCATAAATGGCTTTGCAAATAACCTTAGCGACATGTTTCCCCAATACGCCACTCAACTTCCCAGATGAGTGTGAAGAATCTGATTCACAAAATGTGAAACCAAACACTGATAATTAGAGAGCAAGATTACAGTCTAGATTGATAAAGAGAGAAGATAAGAAAACCAGATTAAGAGGGGGAAAATCCATTTACACACCATTTAGCATGTGTGCAAACCCGAAATTATCCTCTGGGCAAGAGGAGAGAAAAAGAAGAAGGAAAGCCTTTAAACTGGATTAGTAAGCAAAGGTTGCTTTTGATTGAGGTCTCCTAATGAAGGAAACAAGGAGTGGGAGAGGATTAACTGTCCAAGATTTCACAGGGGAGCCAGAACAGGAGCGGAAAGGAACAGACAAGTTGTCTTCTCACCTGAACTCTCACTTCTGGAAGATTGACTTTCATCGCCAGCTCCTCTCGGCTGTAGACATCCGGGTAATGGGATTTCTCAAAGGCTCGCTCCAGTTCGTGCAACTGGTAGGTGGTGAACGTGGTCCGATTCCTCCGGTGCTTCTTTTTGGGCTGGTCTTCATCAGAAAGTTTGCCATCACTGTTGTTGCAAGCGGGCAACTCTGGACTTAGGCAGTCCTCCGAGCGTTTGGGACAGAAAGGATCTGAAAAGGAAGAAGAGGCCGGCAAGGCTAAGTCCACTGACTGATTCAATCAGAAGAATGGATGGATTTTAGCAGACTGACCCCAACACATTGAAGGGCATTTATTTTTCAGAATCTGCAAGTCCCATTTGGTCCAATAATATTTGCTTTCCAAATTATCAATTTCCATGTTGGTTGGTAAATTTTGCCTTTTGCCTGATTTTAACATTCTGAGATTTTTGCATGTGGAAGTTTGCTAGAAATTATTGTTCTTTATGCAATTTTTTAAAAATAGGAAAATAATAAGAGTATTAATCACTATCACTGTCACCATTACTGAATCTTCATGAATCAAGATTATTTTTTAAAAAACAACAACTTGCCTTGAGTGAGTTCTGGGATATTTTGGACTCTCACAAGAATGCTACCTTCTTTAGGGTTAGCACCATTCCTAATGTTAGCCATAGGATACTCTGTATACTTTTGCATTTCTCGAATCTACTGAGATTTCTCTCCTCCTTCTCAACCTTATGGCCAACTTAGTGATTATCAGAATATGTCACTTTCGTTTTTCAGCAGCATGGTTCACTGAACACTGGCAGGGGACTTTTTTTTTTGTCCTAGTACTTTACATTGATTGGGAGAAAAAAGTACTAAAATTTCAAAAACCAATAGATTTCTTGGAATAGTCATGGTGGGTTACTATTGTTTTATTTGCTAGTTAGAATAGCATTTCTCAACTTGGGCATTGGGACCCCTGGGGGAGGTCATGAGGGAGTGTCAATGGGGTCACCAAAAACCATCAGAAAACACAGTATTTTATGTTGGTCATCAGGATTCTTTATGCGAAGTTTGACCCAATTCTATCACTTGTGGTGTTCAAAATGCTCTTTGATTGTAGGTGAACTATAAATCCCAGCAAGTACAACTCCCAAATGTCAAGGTCTATTTTCCCCAAACTCCACCAGTGTTCAGATTTGGGCATATTGCATATTTATGCCAAGTTTGGTCCAGAGCCATCATTGTTTGAGTCCACAGTGCTCTCTGGATGTAGGTGAACCACAACTCCAAAATTCAAGGTCAATGCCCAACAAACCCTTTCAGGTTTTTTTGTTGGTCATGGGAGTTCTGTGTGACAAGTTTGGTTCAATTCCATCACTGGTGGAGTTGTGCTTTGATTGTAGGTTAACTATAAATCCCAGCAACTACAACTCCCAAATGGCAAAATCCCATCAGTATTTGGTCGAAGTTTGCCCATGCCTGTTCTAAAGACTTCCTTCAGTGAGTTTTCCTTAGATGAAATTAACAATTGGATTTCACCAACTGAACATAAAGCAACATGTTTTGCATGAACATGAGCTTTGAGATCACAGCGTGCTCTCAGTTTGCATGTCTGTCCTTTGCAGGGTCAAAACCTTTCTTCCCCTGAATCCAAATTGCATCTGTGCCATGTGAATCATGTCTTGGTAAGCATCTGGTTAGTTGTCGTGAGCTACACTGGAAGCACCGGTTCAAACAAACCTTGATCTAATTGAGTGAGACGCTTGCTCAAGTCTTTTGGGGTCCAGTCAGGAGGAGCGAAGGTGCAAAAATGATGATTTGAGGAAGTGGCGGATCATTCAGATGATACTGTTCATTTGGTTTTGCACCAAGAAACCAGACTTTGCAAACAAAGCTATGCTATATTGTCAAAAGTTTTCATGGCCGGAATCATTTGGTTGTTGTAAGTTTTCCGGGCTATATGGCCATGCCCCAGAAGCACTCTCTCCTAACGTTTCACCTGCATCTATGGCAGGCATCCTCAGAGATTGTGAGGTCTGTTGGAAACTAGGAAAAATCCACAGATATACAGTATAAACACCATTTTCCTAGTTTCCAACAGACCTCACAAGCTCTGAGGATGCATGCCATAGATGGAGGAGAAATGTCAAGAGAGAATACTTCTAGAACATGGCCATACAGCCCGGAAAACTCACAACAACCCAAAATTATGCTGAATTGTTCAATTCTAAATTTGTGTGGATTTCAATAGAATTTATATATAAAGTCACTAATCTGTGCATCTTTGAGTGTAAACCTAACTGAATTCAGTAGAGTTTACTTTTCCCCAAAGGTCTCAATTCATTTTGGGATGGAGGTAGTGAAATCAATGAGACTATAACTCTACTCAGAAATCAGTTGTTATTGGTAATAGGAGCTTCATCATTGTCATCAGAGCAGTATTGTTTTGATCTTGGAATTTTATTTTAAAATATTTTTAAAAGCAGGGCAGAAAAGGTGAGAACACACATTGCCATGTAACAGCACCACTAATTCAACTAACCTCAACCTGGATGGGATATCTGAATCCTCTTGAGTCATATTTTGTTGCACAATCAGCACAAAACTAGACTCACAGCATAGACATTTTAGGATATCATCACATAACAGTTGTAAATAATGGCTCCAACTTTTCACCATGTACAACGAGTTTCTAACACAGTGGCTCTCAATCTTCCTAATGCCGCAATTTCTCATGTTGCAGTGACCCATAACCATAACATTATTTTCGTTGCTACTTCATAACTGCAATTTTGCTACTGTTATGAATCGTAATATAAATACTCGATGTGCGGGATGTATTTTCATTCACTGGACCAAATTTGGCACAAATACCAGATACATCCAAATTTGAATCCCGCTTAAGTGGGTGAGGGTGGAAAGGAAGGGGCCTGACACTGTTAGGAATGGTGGGAGTTGAAGTCCAAAACACCTGGAGGGCCTAAGTTTGCCCAAACCTGCCTTAGAAGAATGAAGAGAAACATTTCCACTTACTCACTTAAGGTAAATGTTTTGCCCTGACATTAAGTCCAGTCATGTCCGACTCTGGGGGTTGGTGCTCATCTCCATTTCTAAACTGAAGAGCCGGCATTGTCTGTAGACACCTCAAGGTCATGTGGCCAGCACCGTTAATCAACTTAAGCAACCCATTAAAATTAAACTAGACAGAAAGAAAGAGGTTGCGATCCACCGGCATCTCACTACTGATCAGATCCATTGATTCTACTGGATGCCAATTTGCATACGACAGCAACACCAAAGTAAGCAGATTGGTCTTAGCTTCTAGATTGGTCTTAGCTTCCATTATTGCAGGGTTACTTCAGAAATTGACTTTAAGCAACCTTAGCATCTCTCAGCTGGAGTTAAGTTTTGTTTGAAAGGTTTAATAGAAAGGGTTTATCCTCTCTCCCTAAAAAAATGGTAAGAAAAAACTCTTTCTACAGAGATCTGATCCAAATGCGCACACTTCAGAGCAGTCTCAAACTTGCCAGTATTAAGAATGGTGCCTATATTTAAGTGATAGACTCATCCTATTTAGGTATAATGGAGAGTATTTATAAATTATCTGGGAATGTGTTGACAAAGGCTTTCAAGGACAGAATCACTGGGTTGCTGTGAGTTTTCCTGGCTGTATGGCCATGTTCCAGAAGCATTTGCTCCTGACGTTTCACCCACATCTATGGCAGGCATCCTCAGAGGTTGTGAGGTTTGTTGGAAACAAGGCAAGTGGAGTTTATATATCTGTGGAATAATGTCCAGGGTGGGAGAAAAAACTCTTGTCTGTTGGAGGCAAGTGCAAACTTTGCAATTGGCCACTTTGATTAGAACTGAATAGCCTTGCAGTTTCGAGGCTAGGCTGCTTCCTGCCCGGGGGGAAACCTTTGTTGGAAGTGATTAACCAGACCTGATTGTTTCTTGTCCTGGGACTGTCTTTATGGCTATGTCCAGCTTGCCCTTCCAAGGTTCAGGATCTTTAATTCCTCCCCCCCCCCCCCACCACCTTTGCCTGTTTCTTGCTCTGTAATTCTGCTTTTGATTTAAGAGGATGAGGGCATATCTTAAGCACTTTTGGAGTTCAAAATGTGCATGTCCCATATGGAAGACTTGAACGCCTGCCTTGACTAATTTTAGTAAAAGTAAGTGTTGTTAAAAATTAGGCAAGTGGGGATATATATCTGGGGAATGTCCAGGGTGGGAGAAAGAACTTTTGTCTGCTTGAGGCAGGTGTGAATGTTGCAATTGGCCTCCTTGATTAGCATTTAATGGCCTTGCAGCTTCAAAGCCTGGCTGGTTGCTGCCTGTTGCAATTGGCTACCTTGATTAGCATTTATACTACTTTATGCAATACTTTTGATACAAAATAAATAAATAAAAATTAGCATGATACATGATAATAAAGTTTTAAATATATTTTAATCCAATGTTTTAACTTTTGTATAATGTTGTATGTAATGTGTTAAGCCACCTAGAGTCCCCTTTTAAGGGTTGAGAAGGACAAGGAAGAAATGTTGCTGGTTGTTGCCTGTTGCAATTAGGCACCTTGATTACCATTTATACTAATTTATGTAATGCTTTTGATATGAATTAAATAAATAGCATCTAATGGCCTTGAAGCTTCAAAGCCAGGCTGGTTGCTGCTTGTTACAATTGGGCACCTTGATTAGTGTTTAACGGCCTTGCAGTTTTGAAGCCTGTCTGGCTGCTGCCTGTTGCAATTGGCCACCTTGATTAGCAATTTACTAATTTATGTAATGCTTTTGATATGAACTAAATACATAAATAGCATTTAATAGCTTTGCATCTTCAAAGCCTGGCTGGTTACTGCCTGTTGCAATTGGGCACCTTGATTAGCGGTTCATGGTCTTGTAGCTTCAAAGCCGGGCTGGTTGCTGCCTGTTGCAATTGGCCATCTTGATTAGCATTTAATGGCCTTGTGGTTTCAAAGCCTGGCTAGTTGCTGTCTGTTGCAATTGGTTACCTTGATTAGCATTTAATGGCCTTGCAGTTGGAAGCCTGGCTGGTTGCTGCCTGTTGCAATTGGCCACCTTGATTAGCATTTATAATAACTTATGTAATGCTTTTGATGTGAAATAAATAAATAAATAGCATCTAATGGCCTTGCAGCTTCGATGCCTCGCTGGTTGATGCCTGTTGCAATTGACCACCTTAATTATCATTTAATGGTGTGCAGCTTCAAAACTTGGCTGGATGCTGCCTGTCGCAGTTGGTCACCTTGATTAGCATTTAATGGTTTTGCAACTTCAAACCCTGGCCTTGGGGGGGGGGGGGGGGGGGGAGGTCCTGAAGCTGTTAAGAATGGTGGGAGTAGAAGCACCAAAAACCTGGAGGGCCCAAGTTGACCTGTTGTAGATGTTTTCGGGCTATATGGCCATGTTCTAGAGGCATTCTCTCCTGACGTGTCGCCTGCATCTATGGCAAGCATCCTCAGAGGGAGTGAGAAGTCAAGAGTGCTGGAGAGTGGGGATGGGATACCTCTGAAGCCGCTCTTCCCCCAAACGTCCTGCTCCCCTTTCCCTGCCTTACCTTCGAAGTGCTCTTCGGGGCCCCCTTCGGCCTCTTGCCCGGGCATCTGCTCGGCTGGCATTTTGGGGAAGCAGTCCCGGGGGCTGATCTTGCCCGGCGCCTCTTGGCCCGCCCGGCCGCCCCCTCCAGCCGCCTCTCCGCCTTGGAAACTTCCCAGGAGAGGGTCTTCTTTGGGGAAGCCCAGGATGGCTTCGATACTGTGCAGCCTGGAGGGGTTCCCTCCTCCTCCTCCTCCGCTTCCTCCTCCTCCGGGGCTCCGGACCAAATGTCCCGACAAGGAGAAGCCCCCTCCTCCTCCTCCTGCGCTCCCTCCTCCGCCGTCGGTGGCCATGCTCACCAGCGCGCCTTGCTGCAGATGCATGGGCTTGGGGAGCTCCTTCCCTTCGAGGAAAGTCGCGCAAGAGCCTTGAGTTGTGCCTCTAGACCCTCCCGACGGATTTGCGCTCCTTCGGTGTCAGCGCGGGCAAGAAGAGGGGGCCAAAGAGGAGCAGCAGGAGGAGGAGGAGGCTCTCCTCTAAGCCGCTTCGCCTTCTCTTCCTCCTCCTTGGAGAAGGCTTGTCCTCGAAGGGCCCGCTTGGGATGAGAGAGAGAGAGAGAAAGCCCTTCACGTCCGCCCTTCGGGTTGCGCACCAAACGCCGCTCCTCTTTGGAGATCCTTCTTTTTCCTTCCGTCCTCTCTYTCTTTTTGCCGCGGATTAGGCGTCGGAGGGAAGCCAACTTCGGGCTGAGCCGAGCCCCGCCCCCTTTCTCCCCCKAAKCCCCTCCCTTTTCCCTATGCCTTCCTCCCCATCCGTCTAARAAAAGTCCAAGAGAGGACCTTCCCCCGAATTCACTTCTTGTAGGGTTGGATTGGACCTGCTGGGAAAGAGAAACAATATACAACATGTGTTGTCGAAGGCTTTCATGGCCGGAATCAGTGGGTTGCTGTGAGTTTTCCAGGCTGTCTGACCAAGTTCCAGAAGCATTCTCTCCTGACGTTTCGCCTCCATCTATGGCAGGCATCCTCAAAGATTGTGAGGTCTGTTAGAAACTAGGCAAGGGAGGTTTATGTATCTGTGAGATAATATGGAGGGTTATGCTCCAGAAGCTTTCTCTCCTGACGTTTCGCCTCCATCTATGACAGGCGGATCCTCAAAGGTTGTTAAGTCTTTTGGAAACTAGGCAAGTGAGATTTATATCTATGGAATAATATGGAGGGTAATGTTCCAGAAGCATTCTCTCCTGACGTTTCGCCTGCATCTGTGACAGGCATCCTCAAAGGTTGTTAAGTCTGTTGGAAACTAGGCAAGTGAGGTTTATATATCTGTGGGATAATATGGAGGGTAATATTCCAGAAGCATTCTCTCCTGACCTTTCGCCTCCATCTATGGCAGGCATCCTCAAAGAATGTGAGGTCTGTTGGAAACTATGCAAGTGAGGTTTATATATCTGTGGGATAATATGGAGGGTTATGTTCCAGAAGCATTCTCTCCTGACGTTTTGCCTCCATCTATGGCAGGCATCCTCAAAGATTGTGAGGTCTGTTGGAAACTAGGCAAGTGAGATTTATATATCTGTAGGATAATATGGAGGGTAATGTTCCAGAAGCATTCTCTCCTGACGTTTCGCCTCCATCTATGACAGGCATCCTCAAAGGTTGTGAGGTCCGTTGGAAACTAGGCAAGTGAGGTTTATATATCTGTAGGATAATATGGAGGGTTATGTTTTAGAAGCATTCTCTCCTGACGTTTCGCCTCCATCTATGACAGGCATCCTCAAAGGTTGTTAAGTCTGTTGGAAACTAGACAAGTTAGGTTTATATATCTGTGGAATAATGTCCAGGGTAGAGAAAGAACTCTTGTCTGCTTGGGGCAAGTGTGAATGTTGCAATTGGCCACCTTGATTCGCATTGAATGTCATTGCAGCTTCAAAGCCTGGCTGCTTCCTGGCGGGGGAATCCTTTGTTGGGAGGTGTTAGATAGATAAACCCCACTTGCCTAGTTTCCAACACACCTCTCAACCTCTGAGGATGCCTGCCATAGATGCAAGCGAAACGTCAGGAGAAAATGCTTCTGGAACATGGCCATACAGCTCGAAAAACTCACAACAACCCTAAGTGAGTGAGGTTTATATATCAGTGGAGTGTCCAGGGTGGGGGAAAAATTCTTGTCTGCTAGAGGTAAGTGTGAATGTTGATTAGCATTTAATGTCCTACAGCTTCAAAGCCTGGTTGCTTCCTGCCAGGGGGAATCCGTTGTTGGGAAGTGTTAGATAGATAAACCTCACTTGCCTAGTTTCCAACAGACCTGACAACCTCTGGGGATGCCTGCCATAGATGCAGGCGAAACGCCAGGAGAGAATGCTTCTGGAACATGGCCATACAGCCCGAAAAACTCACAACAACCCTAAGTGAGTGAGGTTCATATATCAGTGGAATGTCCAGGGTGGGGGAAAGAACTCTTGTCTGCTAGAGGTAAGTGTGATGTTGATTAGCATTTAATGTCCTTGCAGCTTCCAAGCCTGGTTGCTTCCTGCCAGGGGGAATCCTTTATTGGGAGATGTTAGATAGAAAACCCCACTTGCCTAGTTTCCAACAGACCCCACAACCTCTGGGGATGCCTGCCATAGATGCAAGCGAAACGTCAGGAGGGAATTCTTCTGGAACATGGCCATACAGCCCGAAAAACTCACAACAACCCAGTGTTTCCGTCCATGAAAAGCCTTCTCACAACCCAAGAGAAACAAGGCTTTGTCGGATTGGAGTGGATGCAAGGAGAGCTCCTCTTCCCCTCCAAGGGGATGTCTACATTGGACCCTTAAGGCGCTTTGACAACCCTTGAAATGCCATGGACCAGTGCTATAAAATCCTGGGTTTCGTAGTTTTACAGGCTTTGTATTGTCGAGTGGTTTCATGACCGGAATCACTGGATCGCTGTGAGTTTTCAGGGCTGTAGGGCCATGTTCCAGAAGCATTCTCTCTTGACGTTTCGTTTGCATCTAAGGCAGGCATCCTCAGAGGTTGTGAGCTCTGTTGGAAACTAGGCAAATTGGGTTTATATATCTGTGGAATAATATCCAGGGTGGGAGAAAGAACTCTTGTCTGCTTGAGGCAAGTGTGAATGTTGCAATTGGCCGCCTTGATTAGCATTGAATGGCCTTGCAGCTTCAAAGGCTGCCTGTTTCCTGCTTTGGGGTGTGACCTTTGTTGGGAGGTGTTAGCTGGCCCTGATTGTTTCCTGTCTGGAATTCCTCTGGGTTTTTTTGTTTTGTTTTTTAGTGTTGCTCTTTGTTTACAAGCTTTCTTTGTTAAAGAGAGTGCTGGTATTTCAACCAACTGCAACTGCACGAGTCCATAATTTCCCCTCGAAGTCGCAACTAATCCGTCTTTGTTTGTGTGTAGCTTTCTCTCCTGGGGAGGAAGAGAAAAGCAAGCAAAAATTCAAAACAGGGGGGAATAGTTTTTTAATCCCCCCTTTCTCTGTGTGTGTTAAATTACAATTAAAAATTAAAATTAAAAGAATGCCATTGTCGAGAGAGAGGCGGGATAGAAATGAATACAACAATATCATTTTGTGAGTTGTTGTGAGTTTTCCAGGCTGTATGGCCATGTTCCAGAAGCATTCTCTCCTGATGTTTCGCCCGCATCTATGGCAGGCATCCTCAAAGGTTGTGAAGTCTGTTGGAAATTAGGCAAGTGGGGTTTATATATCTGTGGAATATTGTCCAGAGTGGGAGAAAGAACTTTTCTATGCTTGAGGCAGGTATGAAAGTTGCGATTTTAGCAATTAATGGCTTTGTAGCTTCAAAGCCTGACTGGATGCTGCCTGGGGGAATCCTTTGTTGGGAGATGTTAGCTGGCCCGTATTGATATTTGTCTGGAACTCCCCTGCTTTTTAGTGTAGTCATTTATTTATTTATTTATTTATTATTTATTTATTTGGTGTTGTTCTGATTTTAGAGGGTTTTTTTTTAGTTCAGCAAGGTTTGAATATGGATAACCACAGATCTGGATCTTAGAAAGAGTTTGTTTGACATCTTCTGTATGTTTGGAATGACTTCAGAAGGCATCCCATGGTTTTGATTGTAGGTTATCCAGGAAGTGTTATGACTATGAGGATGCTTGGCATAGATGCAGGCGAAACGTCAGGAGAGAATGCCTCTAGAACATGGCCATATAGCCCGAAAAAACCTACAACAACCCGTTATTACTTACTGTGATTCGAAAGCCGCCTTTGGGGTTTTCTCCTGCTCTGGGAGAAAGGCGGCATACCAAAAGGGAACGGAAAGTCCTTGACAAACTACAACTCTCGAGCCGCCCGACGCCTCCCGGCTGAAGAGACAAACGCAAGACTTCCCTGGGCCTCTCTCTTTCTTTCCTGGGTTTCCTTTAATGAACTAATTGCCCTTCCTTTTAATTAATTCAACGCCCAGGGAGGGAAAAGGGATCAAGTTAAGAAGGTGAAACGCCTTTAATCGGTTCAGGGTTTTTTTTTCTTTTTCTTCTTCTTCCATGGGACATTTATGCCTCCGATCATCCAGTCCACAATCTGGGTTTATCTATACCAGGCATGGGCCAGCTTGGGCCCTCCAGGTGTTTTGGACTTTCCTTTCAGCTTAAGCGGCTGAGGGGGGAAAGGGTCTGAGGCTGTTAGGAATGGTGGGAGTTGAAGTCCAAAACACCTGGAGGGCCCAAGTTGGCCCATGCCTAATCTACACTGTAGAGACCATCGCTTCTCAACCTGGGGGTTGGGATCCCTGGAGGGATCACAAGGGGGTGTCAAAGGGGTCGCCAAAGACCATCAGAAAACACAGTATTTTCTGTTGGTTATGGGGGTTCTGTGTGGGAAGTTTGACCCAATTCTAACGCTGGTGGGGTTCAGAATGATTGTAGGTGAACTATAAATCCCAGCAACTACAACTCTCAAATGTTAAGGTCTATTTCCTCCCAAACTCTACCAGTGTTCACATATTGAGTATTTGTGTCAAGTTTGGTCCAGATTCATCATTGTTTGAGCCCACAGTGTTCTCTGGGTGTAGGTAATCTACAACTCCCAAACTCGAGGTCAATGCCCACCAAACCCTTCCAGTATTTTCCGTTGCTCATGGGAGTTCTGCGTACCAAGTTTGGTTCAATTCTATTACTGGTGGAGTTCAGAATGCTGTTTGATTGTAGGTGAACTATAAATCCTAGCAACTACAACTCTCAAATATCAAGGTCTATTTTCCCCAAACTCTACCAGTGTTCACATATTGAATATTTGTGTCAAGTTTGGTGCAGATGCATCCTTGTTTCAGTCCACAGTACTCTCTGGGTGTAGGTGAACTACAACTCCCAAACTCAAGGTCAATGCCCACAAAACCCTTCAAGTATTTTCTGTTGCTCATGGGAGTTCTGTGTGCCAAGTTTGGTTCAATTCCATCGCTGGTAAAATTCAGAATGCTCTTTGATTGAAGGGAAACTATAAATCCCAGCAACTACAACTCTCAAATGTCAGGGTCTGTTTCCCCCAAACTCCACCAATGTTGGTCATATTGAGTATTTGTGCCAAATTTGGTCCACATCCATCGTTGTTTGAGTCCACAGTGCTCTCTGGATGTAGGCGAACTACAACTCCCAAACTCAACGTCAATGCCCACTAAATCCTTTCAGTATTTTCTGTTGGTCATGGAAGTTGTGTGTGAAAAGGGGGTTCAATTCCATCGTTGGTGGAGTTCAGAATGCTCTTTGATTGTAAGTGA